TCATCCTGTGTCTGAGTAGCTGAGCCCACATGGACCATTAATTTTTCCTGACTGAAGTTTAATGAAACAATTGTTTGCCACTAGCAGGACCATTGACTTTGAATGGCTTTATTCAGAATCTGGGTGTTTCTGGAGCTGGAGCACAGAAATTCCCCCACAGAAATGTGGAAGCGGGATGAGGCTCCATTATTTGTTTGGAAAGCTCAAAAGACCATGATTTCTAGATGTCAGTGGAGACATCTAGAAAAGTTGGCCTAAGTTACCAAGCTTAAAGACCTGAGACCAGTGCTTATATGGGTGATGGGAACTCTGAGAGTGTAATCCCCTGTTTCCCCTGTCTGTAACTGCTTTCAGGAATAAAGTGTAAATCTGTGTTTCTGTATTTCACAGTCAATTTATCCAGAATAGTTTCATCTGAAGGGAACGTGTTAATCCAGTGGAACCTTCAAAGTATTATAGGTTTGCTGCTTTAAAGTCACTGCTCTAAAAGTCTACTGCTCTAAAGGATGTAGATACATTATACATGCACACACATGTATACTTACACTCACATAGTGTATATAATATATATGTACTGTGCTGTACTGAAAAAAAAAACAAGTGGAATTTCCCAGACAACAAACAGAACTCTCACCTACTGCAATTTATTAGTAGGACACATACACTGCAAAGTGAATGGCAAGGCAATGAAACTACTTTGCCAGTAAGAAAGTAATACACTAATCAACTAAAGTTTTGTTGTACTGTTTTTATATCTGTGACTAGACAAATCAACCTGATAAAGTTTTCTTTAATTCACTAGCTATTTTGCATATGTCTTTTCTGGTCTGTGAAGTTTGTCCAGTACAATTCATCATATGTCTTTATATTTAATTCTCAAACTAGGAGTCTTCAGATCACAACCAGATGTGTACATACACATGTAAACCCCATGGAGAGGACTTTGAGCCAGAGCTTACTGCTGCATCTACCAAGAAGAAGGGGAAGAGACCCTTTCCTCACAGAACTATTCAACTCTGATATTTTATTCCAGATTTCTTCATCTGGAGAGTTTATGAAATCACTTTGTAAGAGTGGACTTGACTGGATTAGTGATACATTAAAGTAAGCAGTGAAATTTAACTAAAGCTGTGTTATCACAAAGATGATTTTATGACACCCTATTAGGCAGAGCAAGAAGGTGTAGAACTCATATTACTGTTTTGTAACCCACAATATGATATCAGTAACTCATATGGTAAAGCTGTTTTCTTTCTAATTTTAAAGAGTTTTGAATGCATGAAGCTATACCTATAAAGTAACTGGAGGATAAAGAGGGAAACAACTTATTATTAGATGCCTCTGCTACATAAAAGAAATAATAGAGAAAGTAGGAAGAAATACCCTAAGGGTCTAGTGGCAGAGAGTTTCTTGGAGCAGCAGAAGCAGAGAGATTTTTGGAGTATGCCTGAGCTGCCAGAGCTGCTGTTTAGCAGGCAGCCTCCCTGGTGTATAGATAACAAAGTAGTCTTTGAGTCCACCATTAGGACTTGACAGGAAGCATCAAAAGGAAGTCTTATAGAGAAAACTGATAGGCAGCCACGTAAGTCCAGTGGAGCAGCAGACAGAACAGATTGAAAAATCAGCATATATTCACAAGGGTTTTAGACTGAAGCCGGTTTAAAAAGAAGTAGTTCTCTGGCTACTTTTTTTTTTTTTTTTTTTTTTTTGAGATGAGCTGTCCATGTTTTCAGAGAGAATGGACAGGACGAGCTCTGGTAGATGTGGGGAAGCTCTTCCCAACCTTCTAATGTAATGCTCAATAAGAAATGTGTCTTCCTTATTCTGAGGGGTGTAATACCACTTAGCCAAAGACATTGATATTGATGTTGGTTGAATGTTTTGATGTTTTGATTTGTTTTGTTTGTTGATGTTTTGATGAATCCCATTTCAGCACAACAATGGCACTTTGGGGACTATATTGAGATGCCTACCCTTAGAATCAAGACACCCGGAAACAGTATAATAAAGTGCAGCTATCTCAAAATATTATCTAAGGAGTACTTTTAACTAGACAGATTTTATAGGGATAAATTTGTTCATTGATGCCTGTGTCTTTTATTTTTTAGGGCAGATACCATTCCTTCCATATATCTTGTTGTCTAATACCCCAACAGAGAAAACACAGAGTACTTAGCAATGCAATGTTATAATTAACTGACAGTTATTAAAACAGCTGACTTGTCTCCAATATGAATGTTCCTAGGGAAGAAATTGCAATCAAGTAGCACCATATGGATATCAGAGAAATTTGGATTAAACAGAAAAAGAAGAGTGTCTAACAAAAAGTGATGAATGTAAGATTTTGTTATGCTGGAAAGTGGACAAAAATTTGTTCCTGGGTCTACAGATGTTGAAGTTGGTGAATCTTGAGTTAGAAAAATGTAATTAATAACACAGGAAGAGTAACAGGACATGTTTCTCTAAAACAAGTGCCAAACAGTTCTACTTTTCTACTTTCACATCTCAGAGGAGTTCTAAGTTTTGCTGTATAAAGGGTTAGTACTGCTTTTAAAATTTATTACAAAACACTAGACATTGAAAATCTAACAGTGGCAATCAGCAGGAAGAAAAAAAAAGGTAAACAAAAAAAAGGAAAAAAGAAAAAAAAAAAGGTATCTTATGGCTTAATATTAATAAACCAAAATACATTTTGGTTATGTTATAGGAGTTGATGCAACCATAGAGCAGCTGCCAATCAAGTCATGGTTTATGTTTCTTAGTTCCTTGCTGTTAAAAACAATCAAGGTTTCCATGGAAACTACAATTTTATCACATGGTCCTTTTGTAGTCTTTCAGCTACAGAACATGCTGTGAAGGAAACATTTCAGAGTGTTTTGTACTTCTCTATTTCTTAATATTTTGAATGAAAATATTGTTAACTCACAGTCACACTGTGCCTACTAGGCAATTGCTTTTGCAATGTCCAATAAGGACTATATTAATGAAAACAAGATTTTATTCACTTCTGAAATCTTCCACAGTAGAAAATAAAATGAAAAACAAAACAGAACAAAACAAAACAAACATACACACACACACACAAAAAAACAACCTCACTGTTTACAGTTATGCTACAAATATACTTATTTTAGTTCACATGTAAAATTATTGCATTTTATATATACTTCTTTGTCTCCCATTTCATTCAATCCAACCATATGCATAATAGTTTATTTTTTTATGTATTTTTGAAATATCTTGTATGATTATATTTTTAAAAAGAGTGCTAAATATTTCATTCAAATTTATTATTACCTTACATTAGCAATATAAAAGCAAAAATAATGTTGCTCTGTGGATTCATGTTTGTGAAATTCATTGCTGTTCTTGATAATAAGAATGTATATTTACAAATACATCAAGAGTAGTTACAGCTTGATTCTTTCAGGTATATAAATTGTTGGTATATACCATTATCCCCATTAATGTCAGAGTCTTACTGTTATTTGGCAGAATGAGTAATCCAGCCACAAGCTAAAGTGCTACTCCAGCTGGTATGAACACTCTTGAGAAAAAGACACCTAGCACAACAATTTAGTAATGTGTCCCACAAAGGCAACAGCAGTCTATGAGACTCAGCTTACACACAGGCAGAAGAAATAAAGTTTATAAGCACAGGTTTATAAATCTGGATGCACTATTTCCACTGAAATAGATTACTCACCTTGAAGTATGTTGATGGAAGCAAACAAATATAACAATTTTTTAAACTTTGGAATCCATGATTTTACTAATTTATTGGAGGAACAAAAAGATAGTTCTGTGAGCTGTTCTCTCAGGTTCTTCCAACTACAAAAGAAACAAAAATAGTACAATTATGCAGGTTCACTGAGAATTTAGGGATAAGTCTTGAAAGAGAAGAAAAACTGAAGAATCATTACCACAATAGCTATATCAGTGGCAAATTCTGTTCAGATCTTGAATTTCCTTGCTTTTTAAATTTGCAGGCATTCTATCACTTTTTCCCCCCATTACAATCTTACTCTCTAGTGTACTGCATATAATAATTTGTCTCATAGGACATCATATTCTTCTCATAAATGCATCATTTATTTTTCAGTGTGAATGGCATTTACTTCAATTACAATTCTACTTTTATTATTAGCAATAGTTATTTATTGGACATTGGTATTAAATAGAGAGCAGTAAAATGGATAGTATTAGTGATTCTATGTGAGCTGATGTTTTAAGTACTTCCCTTTATTTGTATACATTGCAGTTGTTGTGACTGAATACTGATAAATAACAATAAACTATAAAATCAAATTAAATCCTGTAGTGTCAATTATCCTTTTAAGTAGACGGGAAATACTGAAATGGACTAAATATTCAGCCTAGCTTGTTTCAAATATGTTAGCCACCTTAATGTGCCTAGGAATTCAGGCTGGATCACATACTTGTTTCCTCTTAAATGTGCTGTATAATGATAGATCAGGCAGATTCTGAGCAACACTCCATTTCTAAATTGGTCAAAGTTAATTACAAGGCAGCCAGGGCTTATATGAGTTAGGGAAACCCAATTTTTGCACAGGTATGCTTAAGCTGGTTCACTGCATCATTCTCTATGACACTGTCAACTCATGTACCCGACTTTGAATGGTGTGTGCTGTCAGACCTAGAGAAGACAGAAGGCCATGCAGGCCTGTTGGTCCACATGCTCTTCATTGTTTGCTCAGGGCTGGTGCTGATTTTCCCCATTCTCGTTTGTTTAAGAGGCCTGGAGGCTTGCAAACAGGCAGCTGTAACAGAGACTGAGGGAAATACTTTTCATAGTATTCAAACTGCTGATTCTTTTTATCCTTTAGGCTGGTCATTTTCTGACAGTTTCTCATTTTCTATGTAATCTGGCCCTGTGGACAGATGGGTACCCTTCCTGAGGGTTTCTCATTGGTTTGCAGTTTGTGCTGAATAATAACTGACAGAGCTCCCCAAAACTGCACTGGCTTAGCCACAGCTGCTTCCAATGCAATCAGGGAAGAAAATGTAGCTGAACTGTTTTCTTTTACAAAGCACTCTTTCTCTCATGCCTCATCTCCACACTTGCTTAATATACTCCTCCTCCATCGTTATGCTGCGTGGCTTTTACTAATACTGCACGGATGTTGTTTAAACAGGTTCAGCAAGTTGTTGTTTTCACAGGACTACCTCTGTTCCCTTGGCTGACACCTTTTGTATAAGAGCAGCAGACTGCACCACTGCTGCTGCTCCTTGAATCTGGGAAACAATTTCACAGTGAGGATTTGCTTCTTTTTCTCTACAGGCTGCTTGACAGTGATGCATGAGGAGGCTCCTGTGAGCAAGTGCTGCCCTCCTCTCTCTCCTGACACAGCCATTGCTTCTAGCTGTGTCACAGCTTACAGAAGATCACACTGGAGTTGAGGATTCTGCTCTAATCACCACAGTTTCTCTCTGACATTGCTGTAAATGGGATCATTCAACAGTTTGGTCTGTGGTAGCATTAAGACTTTCTTTCAGTCATTCCACCAATAACTGTGCTTCTGATTGTTTACATATATAAGGTCTAAATACAGAAACATAGAAGAGAGGGTGAAATGCAAGTATCTTACCCTGATATCCAGAGAACAGACTGTCCTTCAGATGTTGTGCCTATCTTATGATGAGTAACATCTTGGTTTAACCTGTAGCTAAGTAGGAAATAGGATTTTCGTCTGACGAAAACGGTAATGGTGGTCTTTGTTAAAGTGTGGCCAAAGATATCTGAAGTTACAGCTATTCTCCATTTAAAGGTAACACAGAGCCAGGAGTGGATTGCCAATAGAAAGGTAGAAAGTAAAACAGGGAGAAGAAAATAAGGTTACCAAACTTGGGACTTGGAAAATTGCCATCGTCTGCTGCATCTCTTCTCTGTGACACTGGGCAAATCCCTGATAAATCAGCTACAATAGTGACAAGTTGATATTTCACCAGATGGGAATAATTTAGAGGAGAAGTGGAGAAATATAGGATACAATGTATCTATGACTCAGAACTGATAGAAAATTTTATATAAAGATTCTTTGCAATATAGAAGCTGGTTTCAGCTCTTGAAATAAAAGTTTGTATTGTAGAGAGTTTGCTGTTTGTGCCTTTTTTTTTTTTTTTAAGAAAGATGTAGAAACTTCTTTTATATATGTTTTTTTTTTCAATAAAAAGTGTAAAATTAAATAGAAAATAGATAATAAAATTAAATAGAAATATAGATATAAAATAAAAAATAGAGATAATAATATAATTAAATAGAAAATAGATAATAAATTCATAGAAAGAAACTCAATTTATATGTCAGGACCTCATGATTTTCCTATCTTTTCTCTTTCTTTTTATCTCTGTTCCTACCTTTGATCTCCAGACTCAAGGCATCTTGACTACCCTTGGACAAGAAAGAAGTTTTCCTGTCTTTCACGTTAGTAAGAAAAAGAATGGATCATAATTATGAGGGTGACACTTTTATAGAGAAAGAGATGAGAGAGCAGTTACCACCTCCAGCACAAAAAAAGTCATTCTATATTTGAGTATATCCAGAATCAAGAAAAAAAATATATGGCAAAACATAACATAGACCAGCCAGTATTTTCATTGACAGAGAAATAGCATCTTATTTTTCTCCAACTATCTGCTGCATCAATAAATAAAACTGTAGTAGTTTTATGGCTTTGTCTAAGAGTAAATCCCCCCAAATTACCTTATGTTGTAAGGGTTAATATTATTATTACTTTACAAACCAAAAATTAGTAAGCAAAAAGCAAATGTTAGAGTAAAGCCAAATCTTTGCCAGCTCTTGAGCAGTGATACTTAGTCTATTGCACTGAGTAACCTCTCTTAGTTTTAACTCTTCCTCTCTCAAAGTGAGCCACACCTTAGTTTTTACAGAGTGCTGTTTATTCATTTATTTATGTATCTATGTGCCAGAGAGTGTGGACCTGAAGAACACAGTTGTGGACAACACGGAATGAATCAGAAGCTTTTAAGAGTTTAACAATCCACTGACAAGACATTTCGCAAAATTCTTGTAACAGTGGCTATAGAACAGTGCAAGGACTCATATAGAAACATAACCTGTTGGAAAGGATATTTCTACATGTGAAATATTTTCTTTCACACAGTTTTCTGGAAACAGAAATCTTATTGAGAATAAAATATCACAAAATCTCTTCTCCTTTCTCCCTCTCCACAAAACAAGCAAACAAACAGACCCATCTGCTGCCTTTTGTTGATGGTGAAGAACCCTTAAGGCAGCTGGGAGTGGAATATTTGCCTTCATCATTGCATACAATAACATTCACATATTTACAGTGTGGTAAAAATTAAATACAAGAATGCAAAAGAAGTCTTAGCCAGCTTGAATTTCATCTACATAAGTGGGTGTAGAAGTGGTGCTTGAAAGATCAGTACCCTAGGGACGATGAGACTGGAAAGTTATCCACAAGTATAAGTGAATCGGTTTACTGTACCAATCAAGCATGCTGGCAATGAGGACCACCTGCCAGAATAATCTCTCTCTGAGACTCACTTAAGGAACTAAATCACCTGCTTAAAGTTTTATTTAAGTGAAATGGCCCAGAAAAGCAAACAGAGTGCAGCTTGTCAGCAGGTCCTCAAGGGAAGGGCCATTTGTTGCTTGTCCAACTCGCCAGTGGATGAGCATTGTGTTTTTCACTTAGCCTGAACAATTGAATGTTGTGTTGAGTAGGTAATCCTCCCCTCCTACACACACATACAGAGTGGCTCATTAGGCATGCCAAAAGACTTATGGTTTTGGTCAAAGTTATATTTCACAAGAAAAAACGGGCCAAATCAGCTGTTGTGATAGATGTACGTGCACCTAAAGGTCTTTCTAGTCCATAGAAGCAAGTGAGGCAAAATAATTCTGATATTCTGGTAGTTTAATTTTGTGCTACTTTGAATGAATTTTACACGGAATAGCTTTTCAATATTACTGTATGTATTACAGTAACATTTACATATTACCAGTAATATGTTGAATTTCACTCAGTCAGATACAGGTACACAATATGGAATTGTTCCTGCTCTTGAAAAGAGCAGAAATAAGGTATCACACAGACACAGACACAGACACAGACACACACACACACACACACACACAAAATAAATTAAAAAAAAATGATTAGTTCAATTTTACAGGTAGAAAAGTGAAGATGGAAATTTCAATGTCTCACCTAAATCAACATCAGAAGTTGTAGCCTTGCTAGTACATCGTCATTTTTAGTCACAGGCTAATACCTCACTTGATTGCTGAATTTGTTCTGTGACTGCTGTAGGATAATTGCTGACTTTAGGCATTAATCTGAGACCATGTAAAAAAGCTATCAGTCGCTCAGAAATTATTAAAATTGCAGCTAATTTCTTTTTGTGCCAATGTGTGTATGCAATGACATCATAAGACATTTGGGTGCAGAATTCCTGCACTGTGATGTGCCTTAAATTTCCCCAGGTTCTCTCACTGAAAATTCTTTGTATCACTTGGCACTGGTATTAAAAGCTTACTGAAGAAAAGCTTCAAACACTGTATTATGTCTCATACAGCCCTATGTACAAGCACTCACTTCATTCTGAAAGTCTGATTCTGTCATCCACAGTAAATTTTCATTATACTCCATGTATTGCTACATTGCTTCTAATGTGGTTTTGCATGCTTCAATATGAAAGAGTGAAAGCAATGGAATTAATCTCAGTATCTTTTGGCTGCATTAATTCATTAATTCTGGGAATGATTTTTTTTATTTTTTTTATTCTCTTTTCCCTCCAACATTGTCTGTGTGGGTCAAAGAAGAGTAAGAGAAAACATTTTTTATTTTTCAGAATTTATTTACCAATACAGTGATATTTGAGGATAAGCATAATTTGGATGGCTTTAAAGTAAGATACAACATTCCCTAACATTCTTTGTTTTGGAACCAATAGAAAAAGACACACTTAATTTTGCTTAATTTTTTCCCATCTCTTTTTTTGTGTGATTTTTTTTTCTGAACTCCCTGTTTGGGGGCACCAGGAAAGGAAGGACCTAAAAGTCAAGCTAGGTCTTTTGCTTAAAATGTGTTCTCTTCTATGTCACAGAGATATGTAGAATAAAAGTTGCTTATTTTTTAATGAGATATTTAAAATGCTATCACTTTTTTCTTTGTTTTCTTTCCACATATTTTTTCTTCACAATGAAATAAAATAAATAAATAAAGACACCATTAAAATTACATTTACTGATTGAAATGAGAATAATATTGTGATGTAACGTGCTATTTACAAAGATCTCAGGGTGGTCACAGCAGAATTGCAACGTAACAACTCATTAAAATTAATGCTGTATACCATCTAAAGAAAATTAAAAAAAAAAAAAAAAAGGAAAAGAAAAAGAAAAAAAAAGGAAAAAGGAAAAAGAGGTCAGACAATTAGATCCAACAAGGTTTTCACTATTGTAATGTTGGATAGTTTATATAAAAAATAATGGTACAATGTCAAACACTTTTAAACTCTCTGAATGCACAGAAGGCTGTTCTGATATTTTGAAGTTCCAATTTTTAAAGTGTAACTTCCATCATTTGTTGCTAACTTTAAGTTCATAGTTCATGACAGATAGACCTTCCCTAAGAGAAAGAAAACTGCATGAAGGATACATTAGTATGTGAATGGACATGTATACATCACACAGAATTAAAAATAAAATAGTTCCTCTGGAGTTGACTAAAATTCACAGCAGTGTGTACCCTCTTCAGTGTCTGGGAAATTTACTGCAGGAGTAATTCAGTGAGCTGTGATAGTTTGTGAACAGTGTTCCTGAGAAAATGAGAAACAATATTACTCATTTTCCAGAGAAGTCCAGAATCTTCTCAAAATAAAGTATTGGCATCATTAATGTGGGAAGTGTGAAATGATAACCAGTCCAGGGGGAGTGGGGGAAGGGAGGCACTGGGTAGTGTAGGGCATAATTAGTGAATGTTAACATCAAACCCCATTGAATAGAAATTATACCAAAGAACAAAACACAATACACGATTTCCTGAGACAGCAGCTACCCAAAACTTCTGGACAAGTCAGAAGGAGCTGACAGTGTTCAGAGCCTAGAAAAAATCCATCCTTTTCTTTGACTGCTAATGCCTCAGTAATACAAATTTACTGTATAGATCATTGTGGGTAATAATAATCACGCTTATTCTATATTTATACATTGTACACAGGTTACAAAGTCAGAGGAAACTCTAAATAAGTTTTAACTTTAAATACGCCTTTCAATGTCCTTTGTTTTTATTTACCAGGAGAAGTTTTAAAATTACAAGGCTTCTGCTTCAGGCATCTGCAGGAAAAGTGACCATTAGGAAAACAGAAAATTTCCCATTTATATTTCCTACACACAAAATAATACAGCTGATGGCACAAAAGATATGCACTATAAAATTCTTGGGGCCCCTAGATGGCAGTCAATGGAGGGATTAGAAATGACTTGTCCCTTCAGCTTCAGAAAATATATAGCAAGGGTACTTCTGTGAATCTCTTTTGGGACACTACACTAGCAATTCCTTAATTTGATCTATTGAGAGTAGCTTATTTATTTCACTTTGCTTTGCGTTTTTTGTGACTACCTACCTTTAAAATTTGCACAGGCACCTAACTATTAATATTTTTATAAGTCTGCATGATAATATACATACTTGCTCTATACCAGAACATACATTTGTGAAAAAAAATAATTGCAGTAGAGGAAATTAAGGGATGCAATGGGGATGCATATTGTGCAGGACTCATCATTTTTGCCATGTTCTGCAAAATACAGCTCACAAGAAAGATGTGCACTGAAGCACAGACAAGGAATATGTATGAATTTACTGGCTGTGCTCCTCTGAGAAGGATGGGACTTCTGGACCTTCAGAAACACCCAAGATACAGGGACTCATAGAACAGCACTAATGGTTAGCACAGAGAGAAGGGCCTTTCATGCCATCACACCCCTCAGACCCAGATAAGTGTTAGTCGCTTTATTCTAAATCTGCTCTGGCATTAGATTTCCAACTTTCTGAATAACTTTAGAAATTATTTCAAGTCCTCTACACTCTTACATGTCTGAGATGTGAATGGTGTGCACAACCAAAAAGCATGTTTATAGCCCTGAGATGGATTTTTAGGGCCACTATAGAAAGAAATGCAGAGTTCAGTGATCTTTACTCACTGCTATTCATATGCATAAAGAAATTTCTTTGTCCCATAAAACTTAATCTTTAGCTAAAGTACTGATTCTGAATCATTTAAATTGGACTGTGTTATAAAGCATTTTAAAGTATAGGAGCTAGTCTCTCTTTCTCAAGACTTTTATATTAAATGAGCTGTTGTGATCAAGTTCCAACCTCTGCTATGCATAAAATGTAATTTGATATTTAAACTGAGTAATAGCAATTTAATTTTCAGAGTCTCTGGGAAAGCAAAGATTCCAATGAGTCTGACTTGTTCTGTAAGTTATCAGAAAAGCAGGATTTGAGTATCTTTTCTTGGGATCTGAAAAGAATCCTTTTGATTTGTTAGTTTGTATGAAAATTAGACTCTTTTGTTTAACTTCTGGCCTGTCAGGCTAAGTGCCTTACATTAAACTTGAATATCCTTGAGCCAGATTCCAAGGTCCTTATCAAAGATCCAGCTCAAAATATTTTAATCATTGTGTGCTTCTAAATTGCAGTAGTTGAAATTTGTCAGAGATAAGATCAAGTGAAAATGGGAAGAATTTAAGAAGCTGGGCTTGGTCTTGCTCCCATGTTGAAATAATTGATTCAACTGGGAACAGGATTGAATAACTGTTAAAAGTTAACAGTAAAACAATGCAGCTATAGTTAAAGGCAGAAATGATGGGTTCTCTTTATCAAGTAAAATAAATTAAAAGCATTTAGTTCTCATATTTAATCAACTATATTTGGGTTATTTGCTGTAAGGAAAATACAAAAGTTCAGCAAATT